AACAACCATTTGAGCAAATGCTGCTATAGCAGCGTCTTTAAACAGTAAAACAGAATTTGCTGTTAACCTTTTGTTTTCTAGCTAGCTGTGCTGATGAGTTATGATTAATTGTAGTTGTATTTACAAAAAAAACTTAAAAATTAATAACCAATTAAGCTTATAGAGAAAAAAGTATGATAAAGACTTGTAATAGTTGTTGTGACAGACTTTCAGTGTGCTCATATATAACTACAATAAATTGCAAAAGGAAAATGTGAATAACATTCTGTTGCACTCTGGTGAAGGGGTCCATGTTATTTTTCAGAAGATCATTTTTCCCATGATCTTGCTTCTCTTCCTTTCCAGTTTGCACGGTCTGGTCTTTAGCTGATGTGCCCCCAGATTTTTTGTGGTTTAAACATGCTCATATTATGGCATTCCAAGACTGTTCTGGATGAGGATCACCATAATATGCTTATGCACTATTCAAAAGCTTGAGCTCAGCCACCTAGTGACATCAAAACAACGGGTAAAGAGCACCCCAATTACTGCTTGTCCCCAGGCTCTCAAATTTCCTTGCTTCTGATAGTTTTTCATAGAGGCCATAAGAGCTCATTCCTTCAAACTGAGCTCTCTTATTATTTAAAGCTATCGCTTTGGTATCTGGGAAATAAAAATTGAAATATCAGCTGTCAATGCACCCAACGTTAGGAACAGGAGTGAACTTTTCCTTGAAAATGATGGGAAAACACACATCACACAGCCAACCACAATGACCTACTGCAGTTCATAAGGCCATGTTTAATTGAAGAAATTGCTTTTTGGCAATGCTGCTGCCTACCTGGGGCATTTAACTGAAGCAGGGCTTTCCCATTAGGAAATGTATGCAGGAGCATTTTATACCTGTGCATTATCCCCCTGGATCTCCCAGCTGTGCCCTAAGTCCTTAGCACAGGTTCTGTCCTTTCTGTGTCCATCCCATATTTGCCACAAACATCTTGTGTGTTAGTGCTGCATCAATTACCTTGAATATGAAAATGTCTAAAGCTTGGAGAGTCAGTAAAACCCCTGAAGAGAGGCCTGGGCAAGAGTGCCCTGCTAATGGCAGCCCCAGCACCTGCATTAGAAGGAAAGTTGTTTGAATCTTTTCATTTTGACTCAGCTGATGACCCACACTAGGTGGAATATTGAACAGCTGTAGCCTCACGGTGAAAAATCACCCCCTTGAAAAGCAGGGAGATGCACAGAGCAGGAGCAGAGCATCTGTAGCCACACTCCCTTGTAGAGGGAGCTCCCTGTGGAATTGCCATCTCCTTCCCACATTGCCTGAATGTCAGCTGGCACAGCCAAACCTGCCGAGCCAGCAGGACAGAGGTGGTGCCTGATGCTGCAGAGTGAAGCTCTACTGCACTTACCTGGACACAGAACAAGAACACACACGTGCTCAGGGATTTACCCACTAGGATGGGAGATACACGCAGGATAGTGAATTCTGTGAGGAAGCAGTGCAGAAAGAAATATGGCTTTTGTGAAGGGACTTGGGGGCAGTACAGTGAAATTTAGAAGGTTAAAGCACCACAGTTGTGGACAGTTTTCTCCCTTCGTCTGGATGAAAACATTTTTTTCCCAGTGCTTTGTTAGAACAAAAAAGTTTTGGAGCACAAACACCAGAAGCAAAATTGAGTTTGACAGAATCAGTTCCTCCACTGGGACCTTACAGGAAAACATAAAACACCTTTTCCAGGGAGACCTTTACACTTCATTTTAGCTGTGCATCCAAGCCTAGGTCAGCAAGATCACAGCAACCATAACATCTAAAAATTACATTCCTTACATGGAAATAAGCTGGGAAAATATTTGTTGAGTAATGAAGTACATTCTTCTCCTTTATCTGCACCACCTGGCATTGCATGGATCTCAGCTGGGTAAAATAGGCCTCAGAACTGAACTTCAAACCTTCAAAAATACAAGTTCTCCAGTCACAGAGATTTTGCTTAAATACAATTCTTTGTTTGGCCTTGGATTTTTGAGCTTTACAGTTCAAACCTATTCTCTCATTCTACTGTATTTATTTTTTAAGTTCAATTCTCATGACTTTGAAAGCTTTCTAAAGGTCAGAAAAGAGAAGTACCAGATATTGCCACCATCACCCACAATGTAATGCAGTCAATTTCATACTGCTTTAAAGCTTTCAAAAAAACATGGTGACTTTTCATCTCAGGGAGTGTGGCTAAAGGTGTGGGTCAGGTATCAGAAGGAACAGAAAGTAAGCCAAATCCTTATCCATTAGATGTGGTGCAGGCTGTGGGTGATGTGATGAAAGAGCTGCCCTGCTGCTGAAGCTCTGTCATAGCTCCCACCCCAGGGCAGCAGCATCCACTCCTGGGCACAGCTACTGAGCATCAGGCCAAGTTGTTCAGTCCTGTATTTATTTAATCTTTGTGGAGATAAAGAAGGATGTTCCACTGAGAGCTCTTTTGTCTCATTCTCTATCAGTTCAATAGGAAAGAGAGCAGAGCTAAAGCCACAAGCAATGGTTTGTATATCTTGTAAGTCTTCTAAAGCCTTGTCATCATATGCTGTATTATGTTGTCTTTTTTACTGAGTGACCATTGCTCTATTGTACACCATCTGCCTTTTTGTGACTTGATGAACCACATTGTAAAAGGCAGAAATCAATAAAGTTCTCCAGAACCCAAAACCTTGGCGAGAAAAATATTTTCCTGCAGCACCATCTTGTGGTCCCTGATTTTAGTACTGAAGATGTTCCCCCCTCCCATACCTCCCTGGGCCGGGAAGGTTTTTCTGCAGACTTGGGAACCACACCCAGCTTTCAGCAGTTTATTTTCTAGCCACAGAGGTACTGTGAGGAGCCTGGCAAAAATGATTGTGCCCTCTTGCAGCTGATCTGGACCCTCATCTACCTCTTGGAAGGGATAGAATGAACAAAGGAATATTGAATTTGGTTTGATATACATGATACAATCAGCACCTTAGGCACTGAAGGAAAGACATGTTTCAGTTGGATGTGAGGTAACCCCATGTTGAAATTGTTCTGTAATATGCTTACGTCCAGGAGCACAAAAATAAGCAAACAAACAAAAAAAAAAGTATGCAAGGGATCTGAATATTCAGTGTAAGCAGGCAGCCAATCAGCTGATCAAAGCGTCCACCTTCTGTGACATTGTCAGGACAGTTTGCATCACACACAGGCCTGTGAATAAATATCTGTGCTTTGACCCTAAAGTGGCAGTCTTGACCTTCAACAGTAATGAAATAGCTATTATGACATCTTAGGCACAGAGAGCAGTTATTTAAGTAATACCCATGGCTTGGAAGCTATTAATTCAATGCACTGTCAAACTAATGGAGAAATTAAAATGTAAAATCAGAACTTTCGTCTTCTCCAACTGAAAATCAAAGCTTCCAGCTTTTTAGAACTCCTCTACAGCAAAGCTGCTGTATGGAAAAGGACAGGCCCCATGTTTGTGAACTGTGCCCTGGACTGCTGTCCCACTAAGGGGAACATACACTAACAGAACATTTTGCTTATGCTCCTCTTGTTCTGGTGCTGCCAGATACAGCTACTGCAGATGCACTGATTGTTCATCCTTAGATAAAGTTGTTTTATCAATGTGACCCTTTGTCAGGATGTTATGTGACATTGAAACCAGTTGTGCTGCCCATGACATGGAGACTGGAGGAATTTATTGCCCTTCTAATCCAAATAATGAATAACCACGTGAAAGCTTAACTTCCTGTGGAGCATAACTCACTCTCCATAATCACCAGCCACGAGGATTTCTGTGCACAGTTCAGCTGTGACAGTGCCTCAAAATTCATGCAGCAGGAAACAGTTTTTTATTTGTCAAAATGTCTATATATGTACTTTACCTTCCATAAAAATAATATCAAAAAAGAGCAAATATGCATCAGATTTAGAAAGCAAGCAGTGCCCTATTCAGTTTCTATTGTTCTGTTGCTCCATATCAAAAAAAGTGTAATACCGCTGCTTACAAAATTTTAACCAAATTATTTGTGACACAATGCTTCTGGCAATGGTTGCAATGTCAGCCTTTAAACTCCTGCATACAGTTACATCTGATCATCAGCAAGCACTCCAACAACCTCATGAGATCGCCCGTGTGCATATTCCACCCACATTACACTTGGATTTTAAGTGATCCCTTTTTAGGACTTAGGAAACCAAGAAGAATGTTTTAAACAGGGAATTCTGAATGTACAGAGTTTCAGAGAATCACTCATAATATTTACTCTCCAGCTTAGGACCGAAGCTCCATTCCTGCCATTCCATTCCAAGTTGTAGGTCTTGGAAATTCTGCTGCATGGACTGCACAGCCCCAAAGAAATATGACAAGTGATTGTTATAATGGGTGATACTGACTTCTACTGACATTCTTTTAGGTGCTCACTCTGCACTCAGCTGTCAAAAAGTGTTACACATTTGTTTCTTTTATTTTTGTTACCTACAGAGAAATGGAAAGAAATTGCATTTTGTAATCACCTAGTTCAGGAGACAGGTCATCCTAAGATCAAAAAGAGTTGTGTGGTGCAGCAAAACCCAGTGGAGAGAACAGCTCCAGAGACAAAGCTCTTGTAGTTTCCTTAAGTACTCTATATTTTTGCCAAGCATATCTTTAAAGCAATTGCCCAAAAACAGATTTCCCAAATCCTCTGTAGCCTGGTAAAGAATTAGCTGTTCTCCTCAGCACTACTGTGCTATGGGGCCATCCAGTATAGAACCAGAGCAAGCTTCCTCTCAATACCAATTTAATGAGTGACAACACTCCCTTGATCTGTTTCTAAGACTGACCCCTAAGCTGAGATGGACACATAACCGCTGTATTTATGTCCCTCCACAGGGATGCCACTGCATGAAAAGAACACTGACTTTACTATTCAGGGGTTGCCATGAGAAGTTTGCCTTTCAGTCTTACTAGTTCTTTTTTTTGTACAGGAGGTATGGAATGAGTGCAAGAAACCAGAATGAAAAAAACTTCTACTGAGAAATCAATAGTATTATCAAGGGTTAACAACTTTGCATTGCTTCAATGCTAAAATAAAACGTATCCTTTTCTAGGAGATAGCCAAACAATCCTGGTGTCTTCTGCTTGATCTTCAGGATCAGGTGGATCTTCCTATACACCAAAGGGAGAAAAAAAATCCTGAACATGAGTGTGACTTGATTTAGGGACACCTCTACATTTCTGCCAAATCAATACTCTTCCTGAAATATTTATTTATTGTCTAATGACCTCCCTAACACTTTATTATTTAATGTGACCTTTAGTAGGTTATAGCTTGGCATGGTCACATGAAGCAAATAGCATTTCACTCTCAGATTACATTTATTTCAGTAGTTAAGTGCTCTTCAGCATTGAGGAAGAATGGCAAGAATGCCAAGGAGTGGAGCAGTGGGAATGCCTCAGCTACAAAGCGCCCCTATCCATACAGAAAGAAAGGCTCTTCAGTGCCTGTAGATGGACCTGCCTCTCCTGAAAGCAGCAAACCCATTGTGTTTCCACTTTCTCATGCTACAATTTGCACATGAGATAAGGAACACTGGAGTGGCAGAGGGCTTTAGCCTCTGCCTGGCCGTGGCTCTGCTGTCAGCTGGCAGCCCAGGAGGACAGCAACTGAATTCTTGCCAACTCATTCCCTCTCCCACAACAGGAACTGAAGGTAATCCCTGAAAAAGCCTTTGGACAATTCTACTGCACTGGCAGGCAGCAGGTATTTGGTAGTGGATATCTTTAGTATTCTACACAGACTCAAAGGAACAACCCTAAACTTAGAAGAAAAGAATACCCCAAAGTTAGTTTACCTTCTTTTTTTGTCCTTTTGGTTCTTTAAGTCAGTCCAGTAAGTGGCGACAAATCTCTTCATCGTGAGTCTTTTTAACACCAGCTCTTTTTTCCCATGCAATTTTCTGTACTTCTTTGCTTATCTTTTTTAAAGGATTGATACACGGACTGCAACATATTAAAACAGCTGAAACTGGTTGATTTCCAAAGTAGGAATTTAGAGAAGGTCACCTAGACTTCCACCATGAAATCCTAGCTCCAGTGAAAAAAACTCAAAAGGCTAGACTTGATTCCAGGCCATCATAAGATTCATCACCAGAAGAAAGATTAAGGTGAGGAGAAGCATTTCAATGCTTTTCCCATTTCTTACATTTTCTTCATGAATTTCACCTTTTGATTTATACAGAATCACAGAATCATTCAGGATAGAAAATACCTTTAAGATCATCAATCCCAACCATTAACCCAGCACTGCCCAGTCCACACAAGGCACACACAGGCCTGGGACACCCCTTGCTGCCCAGCTCTTCCTGAAAGAGGAATTCCTGCACAGGGCTGCTTGTCTCATCCCCAGCAGCCCAGTATGGGGAGACAGTGCAACCATGACCAGAAATTTCCCCAGTACCAAATCAACAAAATTCTGGCTTCTTATCACAGTTGTATTAGGGATTGGGCAGGGATGAAGACTTTTCTATTCAATTTTTAAAATCTACACAGTATTTTTCACTAGTGCTATTTAGGTGCATCTGCATTTTTCTAACCTCTGGTGTTTTAACCTACCTTTCCTTACATGTGGTTCTTAAAGAAGACCAACAAAACTGAGAAGAGTAAGATAGGCTAACAGAGTTATGGACAGAGCAAAACCAACAGAGCACAGCTCCAGACAGGAGATACTGCACTGATAGCACACAAGGGAGATTGCCAATTGGCAGGGAACAGATGTGTAGACTCTGCTTCCTGCATGAAAAACACCACTGGAAGGAGGCAAACACACAGTTTGTCCATGGGGATGTGGAAAGTAACAAACCCTCACTGACTTGGGAAATTAGATCAACTAGAATTGATCAGGTGTGGCAAGGAGAGGAGTACTCAGGTCCCCCTATCAATGTTACAGGAATTTCATGTTCCTACATTGTCTTTGTCTGGCCATGGTATAGAAACCTTGCAATTTACTCTAGAGGAGGCACAGTGGAGTTAAACAATTATCCCAAATTTCATCAGCAAAAGTCCTCTTATTTTTTCGATAACTCTAGAGAACAGATTTTACTTTTGTGCACACCAGTTGCAGTACAGATTTGGCACTGTGCATAGGACTCTCTTGACAATGACTGTATAATGTTGAAAACAAAAGAATTTCTATCCAGGGAGGTTTTTGGCTTATTAAAGGAATGTTTCTCAAAGCTCTATCAACTGTCTCTAAAACTGATAAAACTCAAAGTTTCAGTGTGATAGAATTGCACCCTTCCTCAAACTTAAATATATGATGTTGGAAATTTAAACCATTTAGCATCTGGTTAGTTACTGCATTTATAAAACAAAGCAAAAAAACAAGTCAGCAGAAGAGCAAAATTCCTAGTTTCACTGGCTATGAAAAAACACAGAAATGATCATTTAAACATTAATGTGAATTCTCCCAAAATGAAAACATATTAATTCATTTTCCAGAAAATTTATGATAATTTCATGTTGATTCTTTGCCTCCTGCTTTCAGAGTCACTGATGACTCAGTGCAGTTATCTGTATGCTGAGTATCAGCTGTTGAGCACGGTGTAAGATGTAATGTGGAGATTTTCACAGCAGGTTTTGTCAAAATGTGGAACTCCACAGCAAACAGCCATCTGCCAAGCAGCCTCATTAGTAAAGTCTGTGTGTCTCTGTATATGTGCACGTATATGATCCCACACAGATGACTATATCTTAGAAGAGCAAAAGTTTAACACTTGGAGGAAAAAATCTTCAATAAAAAGACAATTCTGTCATATTAGCCAAGCTGTAGCACCAGTCATTCAATATGAACTACTACCTAAGCAGAATAAAGCATAGTTATGTTAATTCATTCCATCAGTTTAATGACCTTGATATTGTGGAGTTTACATTTTCCCTACATCCTGAGAACACATACACATGCTGAAACAATTCACACTATCAGACACTAAGCTGCTTGCATAAAACTTGCAGGCCCTATACATTAAAAACCTCACTCTGCATGTTAGTAACAGTAATTAATTCCCAACTCAGATAATTAATTCCCAACTCACAGCCCCTCTCTCTTACTCTGCTCAGGCCTCATACTTTGTTCTTCCCTTCCTTGTCTTATTGCATAACTCCAAGTCTGTCCTGAAGGGACTCTGCTTTTGTGTTTTATGTGCAACTTCCCAAGCAAGTGAAGTAAGACTAAGTCCAAGTCTTTTATATCCAGGTCTTAGAAAGAGTACTGGGGCATTAAATAACCTTTTTTCTTTAAGCCAAATTGACTCTTTGTTTTATGTAGCTTCAAAATAGGATTCATCTTTTATGTTTGAACATTAATTTCTTGTCCTTTTTTTTTTTTTCCCCAATCTTGTTTCCCCTCACCTAGTTAAAATATATCAGTTATATATTTTCACTATTTAGAAACAGTACTTAATAAATTAGGTCTGGTCATGTGCTAACACTTACCTTCTCTGCAAAAGGGCACAGCAGCAGATTGGTAGAAATCCCAAAATCAAAAATCCTCCTCCGGTAAGCAAAACCACTCGAATGGCCAGCTGCACATCTGTAGAGGCAGCAAAAGTTTGCATTAGTTCTGAACAATTCTGATACAGGCTCTGAGCCTCAGGTGACAGAATCAACCTCTAAGACAGAGACCTTTGCTGCCATGAAGTCCCAGCCATGTTGCCACTTTGCTCAGACAGATATTTCATCAGCAAAGCTCTGACAGTACTCACACCTTAAGACAAACTCACTCAAAGATTTTAGTAAATGCCAAGGAAAACTGCCATCTCTCACATGAATTTAAAGTTGGACTCACTGATCACAAGGGTCTTTTCTAATCTAAATGATTCTATGATTCAGCAGCACAATGGCAAAAAAAGTAAGTCTTAGGAATGAGCTCAGATGAGAAAGAATCGGTCTCAAATTTCACTTCAGTTCGAAAAGCAGTGTTTGTTTAGATCCAGAAGCAACCAGGGTTTGGGTGAGCCCAGGGCCAGGGGCACAGCTGACTGGGAGGAATAAATAATAGTTAAAAAAAACAATCAAGTCCCTTAGAAGCTGTTTCAAGAATGGAGACAAAATCTTTCAAATTAATTCTATTCATCTACTTCAGTTCATAACTTCTGTAGCATTTTCTTAAGGCCTCATTTAATTACCAGTGAAATTCAAGACAAACCTCCCAACAGGAAGAACCATTCAGTATTCAGCCCGTGACCAGCTGACAAACATAACTGCCTTGAGTCTAATATCTGCTAAGTGCTTCTATTTTGTCAACAGATTGCTACAAGGCAAACAGTAAGTGTTTGCATTTTCTTTGGACATATGCTGTACATCCAGGAGCATTCAAGGAGCTCATTAATCTATGAACAAATAATTCTGTAAAATAATCAGCCCTTTATATTGATGTCTGAACAATAAAAGCTAACTGGAATGAGGAATCAAGCAGTCACAGCTGAATAAGCATATTTAATTTTAAAATTTGCTTCAGTATGTATCTTAAAAATTAGCAGAGAGCTATAATTTTCACTGTAAGCTTTTCTTCTTGCTGTAGTGAAGTGCTTTTTATACAAAATATAAAGGCCAAAGCTGGGACTGAATATTATTAAAACCTTTAATTTCTGTCATATGCCCCTAACAGATTCTGATGCAATCACACTGGATAAAACTTGGTTTTATTTTATTTTATTTTTGGTTGAAGACAACCAAAAATTATCTAGCTGGTAGTAACTACAGCTGCCCCAGCACTGATATCTGGAGCTGCTCAAGCACAAGAAAGTATTCAAAGTCTTATTTTGGCCTCAGACTGGTCCTGAAGAAGCACAAACAAGAGAAAGGGAATTCATGTCAGCTGCCAAGTAACCTTGGGGTTTCATATCTGTGTTAAATCAGCTTATCCTAAAAATTGGGATATCACCTCTGAAATCAATGGATGTATACTGAAGTATACCAGAAAGAACTAAATCATTAAGTTCTAGATTATGGTTTCTTTTTGCTAACTTATTATCCATGTTTGGCAGGATTGCTTGTATCTGAAAACCCTTCCTACATTGTTGGTTGTTTGTCCTTGGAAAAATTAAAAATTTGTCTGGACACAGCCCCTGAGAAACCCATTATAGCTAATGCTGGTAGAACAGGGAGGATTAATTATATGGTTGTGAGAGGTCCCTTCCATGCCCAGTAATTCTGTCTATAATAAAACACCTCTAAATTATTTTCTTTTTTCAGTTTGTTGAAGGAACCTCCATGAAAAGCAACAACTCTTTCTAGAAAGCTATACAAACAGGAAAAATTTATGAAAAAAAGTAAGGTTTGATACAATCCTTTCAGTAGAGCAAAGACAACCATGGAGTTATAAGCAAATATAGGATCTATAAAATGGTTTTTGCATTCATATAAGAAAAAAAAACCATACCCACCAAGCTGATGCTAAAAGGAAAAAAATTAGGTAAAACATAATGTTATGGCTGAAATTTGATAACATAGAACTACTGACATTTTGGTTGAAAGAGACTTCTGCAGATCACATAGATGAATCTTCCTCTTGAAACAAGGCTACTACCAATATGAGATAAGTGAGTTGTGTCTTGTTATATCCAAGTCTTGAAAACCTCCAAGACTGGGGACTCCACCCCTTTTCTGATGAACGTTTTCCTCACTAATGTCTGAGCTAAATTTCTTAAGCATCAGTTAGTGGCAATTCTCACTTGTTAAATCATGTGATTCTTCCAGGAAGAATTAGTGACTCATTTTAATAACTTCCCTTCTAAACAGGCTTCAGTAGCTATTAAACAACCAATTAGCCTCCTCTTCACCATGTAAAACACAAATCCAGTTCCTTCACTTTTTCTTCACTGCACTTTCATGGAGTCACTACTTTGGATTAACACCCACTTTCAACAGACAAAGCCTTTACTTCATTCTTTGTAATGACATATGTGACTCTCTTTATTTGTATGGCACTTGTTCTTTGCTTGCGCTGGGCTTGACGGTACCCAGAAAATTTTCTATTAATCAATTGTTTCCTTTTTAGTACAGATGAAGAAATCCATGCAAGCTTACAGTTACTTTAAAGAGAGGGGTGTCCTGGAAAGCCAGAGGTACAAAGAGCAATGAGAGCTGTACTGTGTGAGCAGAAGCAGGGTTTGCTCTGAGGCAGCAGCCCAGAGCCACACACTCACCATCTCTCACTGGCATGTAGCACTGCTCCTCCTGGCCAATTCTGAAAGGACAGCAGTGAATTTTTGAGCATTCAGACATGTTCAGGCCTTCAACAGGACAAGGAGTGAAGAGTTGCTGATTGCTGAGGCGGCAAGCTTCAAAAAGAAAAAAAACCAACATCGGGTAAAATGTCTATCCTGGGAGCAATGTGAAACAGAAGGAAGTCATCACTTTGGTGTCTCTAGCATGCTTTGATTAATTAAATCTGCCAGAAAACAGTATCATTGACGTTCATGTATGTTCTTTCCCAAAACATAAGCAATTTCTATATCGAAATTAGCAGAAAAGCTAAATCATGTTATAGGGAATCTTCTGTAATTTGCTTTGTTTCTATAAGGATCTATTACAAAGCTGAAAAAAACCACCATTGTGACACTTTTTTTACTTCAGTTTGTAAAGTAAGTGAAAAAGACAAAGTAAATTTATTATTATTTTTTTTTTTGAAGGACTGTATTGCAACTAACCATCTCTGGTACTTATTTGTTTCTACCAGCTGCTAGGAAAAACCCAACAACATCCAATACAGTTAATGAACAGCACATTTAAGCAATTTTTGAGATTTCCTATTTAATAGCAGATTTATTGATAATCATGAGATACTCTGTGGGAATGGTTTAAATGTTTAAGATAGTTATAAATAGTAGATGTCTCTGCATATTTGATTCCTATAAAACATCATATCTCATCCCTTATGTTACACAGCAGCTGCAAAGCATCATTTGGTTCCAACAACTCCCCCAGGACTGGCTGTATTGTCAGCCTCACATTTATCAGAGACATTACTGGTAGCCAAATTCAGTTTATTAAAGGGGGGATCAGGATCTTCATCAGTCCTCTGCACTTAGGCCTACATGTGAGCAATAGTGGTGGAGGCACACTGATATTAATGCAGAAACATATCAAGGGAAAAAGTAGCATTTCTCCTTCTCTTTCCTATTGGTCTGTGGTCTGGTTATGGAATCAGGCTGGCTGTTTTTATATAGAACAAATCCTTTTTGTACTCATATTATTTTGCTTTTTGATATTAGCAAGTTAGCATTGTGATTTTCATCTCAATAATTTTATGAAATAATGTAGTTCTTGTAATTTTACTTCAGTAATCCAAAGGTGAGTGCAGAAGTCTAATCTAACAGGCCTGAAACCTTCCTTAGCCAGTAGAAGTGGGAGAGACACCAGGGCGGGACAAAATCCTTCTCTCATTTAGGCTGTGCCAAATTCTCTTTTGTCTCTAGGTGTATGTGGGAAGACTGGCAAACTAGTCCAGATGAGATACAACAAAGCTAGGCACGGTGGATCCTCTGCCAAACTTTGAGCATAATTTCAGCATTTCCAGCACAGTGACATCACTGGTGATGGAGGGTGTTGCAGGAGGGTAGCAATGCAAACAAATCTGTGATTGTCCCAAAGAGGCACTTAGCAATCCTATTCTGAAGAGCTCTAGTGAGTTTTACAGTATTAGACTGAGGGTTTTAAGGACATGAAATGCTGACAGGTAGGGGAGGGAGGGTGGACTGGAAGTGAGGCAGAAGTGGGAAGGAAGAGAAACGATGCTGCAGTGGTGAAGTGACACTTACTCATTGGTCTGAAGAAGCTCAAGAAAGATACGAATACACCTTCCATTGTCATGTTAGGTTTGCTGGCTGCCTCTGCACTCTGTTCTGAACCAGGCTCAATCGGTGCTGCAAGAACTGAAAGTTCACAATGATTAGCTCATTACCATCAAAACTATCCGTAATTAATTAAAGCAATGACATTTTCATACTGATTATCACTCATTAGGAAGGCATTTACAGTCATCAGGAACTGTGTCGACTGATGGCTAGCAGGGTTAAGCACAGATGTCTTTCTGTTGTATTCACTTATATTGCTTTAAATTGCTTCATGAACCACAATGAGTAAAGAACTAAAGCTGTAAAATTTAAATTAAAGAATGCATTCAGGTGGAAATTGTCAAGGATAAAAAGCCCTGCTGCTCACCTATGAGGTGCAGGTTACATGAAAATGCTTTGCTGCATGCATAATTATATTTCTCCTATGCACACAAGCAGAACTTCCAGTTTTTTACATAAAGATCAGACCCCAGTTAAAACACAGGAACATGGTGAAAGGCACCTTTATCAGACACAATCAAATATGCATCTATCCCAGCTTCTTACTTCAGACAGTGACCAGCTGCAGTTGCATAGCAAAAAGCAAAACATCTCTAAATATAGAGGTACTGTTACACAAAAGCTACTGATTTCTTACTCTGGGACTTCCCAATCACCTTTCATTTTCATTATTCTGAAAAAAAAAAATAGGATCAGTAAACCTTGCTGCCTCCCTACATCTCTTTTTCATTACACCAAAAGTGCAAATCACAGTAGGACTCCACTGGCAATCAACCACTCCCCAACAAGGGGGAAAAAGAGAGACCCAGTATTCCCACTTGATTGCCTTCTTCCTCTCCATGAGAGAAACTTACACCATCACCACTTTAATAGCTTTCAGTGACAGTTTGCTGAAACCCATTTCATGGTGTTAGAGTCCTTATGATAGAAGTTAGATCACAACCTAACCAAAAACTAAAGTATTGAACAACTTCAGTCTTTTGGATAATCCTTCAGCTAACAGCATCGGGAGGATAAAGTAGGAAATTAGGAAATTACTCGTCCTGGGGCACAACTTGCCTCTTCTGTGCCATACACAACTCCCTTAGGAAACAAAAAAGAATGGAGTAAAGAGAATTGAAGGTACTGTCAAAACAGACAATCTGAAATTATCGTGCAACAGAAATGTGATCAACAAAGCTCACACTGACAGTTATGTCTTGGGGTCCCTCTCTCTGCCAGTAAACAAGACAGAACAGAAAATTTTAAAGACTTTGTAATGACTTCATGGGAAGTTCATGAGATGAGGTTTCCAGCATTCAGTTTGGTAAGAATTATCTGAAAACTGTGGATGCCCTACACATTACTCCCATGTGAGGGTTGAAAGAGACATGCGCCATTTACATAAATTTAATGGCCATTGCTGAACTTACACATTTATACCTATGTGAGCTCACACACACTCTGGAAGCTTTTTAAAATGACATAGCAACTACCAGCCTCTCACCAAGAGCTGAAAAGGCTCTGAGGTCTGGCTTCTCAATGCATTAAAGATCAAATGCAGAGATATTCAGATGGATCCTTTAGACATGTCAGATGACCAAACTTCTGTTAGTGCAAATAATCAGACAAAACCTTTCTAATTACTTTGAGTCATCTCCTGTAATAAGCAAATACATCAATTCTCCACACACTATAAGAACACCTTTAATAGTATGCTGAAAAAAAAGACTAAGTGAGGGAAAAATAGAAGAATCTATAACTGGGTGAAAAAAAGAAAAATTTGTGATCAACTGTGAAATAAAAGCAAGTTCCACTGGCAGGGACGAAACCAGCAGCATGTATTTCTTGTAAAGATGCAGAGGGAAATGGGAACTATAGTTGCAGGAAAATAAATATATGTTGCTCTATTTAAGTCTCAGAATGGATCAATCCAATCTGAAACAATTGCTCGTAATATTTCTCAGCATTTCCCAAGATTGCTTGCTAGTGAAAGTACTTGCTGCTTCTTTAAGAATGTTTTTATCCTTGCAATACTCACGTGAGTGGACACTACCAAGCAGGAGCAGGACCATGAAGACCCATGCTCGATGGGTGCCGAAGGGCAGCATCACTGCAATGAAACCAAGAGCAGTAATAGGTATAGAGCCCTGCATAAAACAAATTATTGATCTTAACTTCATATTTATGGGCTAGAACAAACCTGACAGTTGATTGCTGCACAGAGCAGGACTGCCTTTTTTTGCAAGAAAGAGGCCAAAACTAATTGAAAATATATGTGTATATATTGTCAATAAATTTTTTGAAGAAACTACTCATTTAAAGGGAGTTCAAAGTAAGTAAACTTGTTAAGAGACTAGCCAAAAAATTATCTTTCTTAAGTGTTCCAAAGCTGGACACCTGGCACTTAAAAAAGATAATTTTTATCTGAAAATTTTAATCTGAGTTCAATGAACAGAATCAAGAATGAAGAATGAATACATTTTGAAAGCTTAAAACTGAATTCAAATTTAACTCATTGAATTCTTCACTCTTTTCACAATTGGAGCACGTGAAGAGCTTTGGATAGCATTTTTAAAAGGTGGTTCAAAATGGTATTAGGGACAAAAATACTTTTAGAAATCCCCATGTGATTCATAGTAATTTAACAGCAGGTTTAAGCTGGGTTTTGTACCTGCAAGCAGCCCCTGATGACTGCTTTGACAGATGCTGTATTTCACGCTGCCTGCCCCTCCTGTTTTACCCTAAAAAGGGCTTTTTTCAATTATTACCACTTAGTTCTAAAGACAGCTTAAACCTACAGACAATTTGTTAGTAGTGGGGAGGGGAGAACCCCATTTGCTAAAGTGCAGCACAGGGAAAAGGCTGGCTGAATTTCACTGGATATTGCCCTTTGAAGGGTCAGCTCTTTCTGCACTCCTGCTCAGTAAGGAAAACTTCCCTGCCCTTGGAAGTACCTCTGCTATAGAGGAATATACAAACATGTTCTACCACATGGAAAAACTACTTTGGTAATGTGAAATTATCTCCTAAGAGGACAGGAATCATGTTTTCCAAGAAACTTATTAAAATTTAATGCTATTCATGACAAATTGGGAAAAGAAGAGAGAAGGAAAACAAGATGAAAATTATTTTTCTTGCCATTACTTACTTTTTTTGCTGTTTCCTCCAGCCCTGCTTGAGCAGGGTATGAGCAGATCCCCAGGGTGCAGCAACCACAGACTGGCCCTGACAACCATGGAACCAAAGAACATCACAGTCACCACCCCAGGTTCAGGTGCATAGAATAGGTTGGAGCAACAGAGGGGCCAGAAAAAGCTCAGTGTGCTTTGGGAGAAATTTGTCCCTGCTGTAACTGTTGGAAAGCCTCTCAAGTCTCCTAATTCACCAAGTTAAAAAACAAGTTCATACCCTTACCAGTCACTCTCCAATGTACAATACAGAAACATCACCTAATTGAGCAGCCCAGGTAAGAAATCAAAACGCAATCCTCTCAAGTCAAACACTTCAGTCAGAATGCTTAAAGCTTCTCACTAACCCCTGAAAGGTGACTTAATTAGGTATTCTTCACCAAACATTTGCACACTTGAAGCACAAATCTAACACATATCTTCCTTAGACTTGGAAATCAAATTGTATCCGGGGCTGCATCAAAGAGAATATGGTCAGCAGGTCAAGGGAGATGATTCTACCCCTCTACTCCACTCTCTTGAGACTCCACCTGGTGTACTGCAACCAGCTCTAGAGATCTGGCCCGATTTCAGCTGGGATATAATTAAATTTTCTCCTTTGTAGCTGGCACAGTGCTGTGTCTTGGATTTAGGATGACACTAATGCTTATAACACACTGATAGTAGTTGTTGCTAAGCAGTTCTTGCTCTCAATCAAGCACTTTTGAGCTGCCCTGCTCTGGCAGGGAGCAGGTACACCAGAAACCAGGAGGGAGCATGGCCAGGACAGCCCACCTGGGCTGCCCAGGGGATATTCCACACCATGCCACACCACACTCAGTATTTGAACTGCAGGAGCTGGCAGAGAGATGCCAAACACTGCCCAGGGATGGGCTGGGCATTGGTCAGTGTATTGAGCAATTAATTGTATTTTGCAGCTCTTGGTCCTCTAGGATTTCATCTCTCTTAGTCCTTTTCACCACAATTATTATAATCATATTCTATTATATTTCAATTATTAAACTATTCTTGTATCAACCCATGATTTTTACTATTTTGTTTCTTCTGATTCCCATCCCCACTGGGAGGATGGAGGGGGAAGGGAGCTCTGAGTGAGCGAGCAGCTACCTGGTGTTAAACCAAAAGTTCCCCCCACATGAAGGACATGGACCTTTTCAAGCTTGTCCAGAGGGTCATGAAGGTGACCATTGGGCTGGAACAGCTCTGCTCTAAAGACAAACTGAGAGACCTGGGGTGCTTCAGCCTGGAGAAGGCTCTGGGGACACATCAGGGCCCCTCTCAGTACCTAAAGGGGCTACACAAGAAAGGTGAGGAAGACTTTCATAGCAGGGCCTGTGCAATAGGACAAAGAGCAAGAGTTTTAAATAAGAAGAGGTTCAAATTAGACTAGATATAAAGCTGAAGTTTTTTACAATGAGGGTGGAGAGGCCCTGGCACAGGTTGCCCAGAGAAGCTGTAGATGCCATGTGCCTGGAGGTATTCTAGGCCAGACTGGAGCGAGCTCTGGGCAACTTGGTCTATGGGATGGTGTTCCTGCCCAAGGCAGATGGAACTAGGTGATCTTTAGGGTCCCTTCCAAACCACACCATTCTAGGATTCTACCACTTCCATTCCTTTTATTAAGGAAAGGCTCTGAATAGAATGGGAACAGTGTTTTTAAAATATACAGAAACCTAAAGTAAATGCAGATGCCATCAAATCGGCATTTCCCTTAACAGATGAGCTGCCTAAAGCAGTTGCAGTTTGCTAAAAGCCATCTGAACTGGTGAGCCTGAAAAAAACTTACATATTCACATGGGTTTTTTTCCTCATTTCAGCTAATTGCAAAACAAGTTTAAAGGGTGGATCTCTTCAACTTCATTTGTATGCAGCACTAGCTTGCTAAAATAAGTAACAATACATACTATCTTCAGTTTCACTGTTTAACTCTACACCCAGACTAGACTCAGCCACTCCAGCATCTCCAATACTTGGCAATGTCTAATCCCCAATCCTTCCTTTTCTGAAGCATATGATTTACATGAAAGTGAATTTTTCTGTGCTAATTTACCTCATGGCACACTCCAGACAATGTGATGCACTTCTGACATGGGACTTTTCAGACTACTAAGAACCACAGAAAATTGCCCCCCCCCCCCCCATTTTAAGCAGAACATTTAATTGATTTTACTACATTTAGGAGCGTTGATTTCCCTTGCTGTAGCTGTAGTCTACACCTGAGGCTCACCCGAGTGCATCAGGCAAAAAAGTACATCCAAACCCCAAACCATGCCTAATGTTTGTTCTAACATTTCCGCAACAATCAAGTTCTTAGCATGTACAGACTACATCCATGTGATCATTTTTTGCTTTAAATTAATTGCTTTTATTGGAAACCAGTTTCCTAAATGCAGTGCAAAACCGTAAGTAAACATTTTCTCTTACTGAATTTTCAGTAGATACACAAAATTACCTATGATTGTTGCTCTTTCTTATAATCCAATTCCATACAGTACTCAAACCACACAAAAAATACTGCTTTAAAGTCTATTGTAAAGTAATTTTTAAACAATGTAAAAAAAAATATGGCAAAATGACTCATCTGGGTTTAACAGCAATTATTTCTATCAAACTGTTTGAGATGAATGACCTTCGTAACTGTGAAAGCACAAGTGACAGATGTGTTATGCATTTTAAAAAATTGTTTGTAGAAAACCAGATTCATCCCCTGATGCAGGCGAAAGATCCAGTCCTCTATCAAAGAATCACAGTGCCAGAGTAAAAAGCTGTTTCTGTAAATCACAGCATAAAAATACAATGTGAAACCAAGGTTGTGCTTAAGTCTAATGAACCTCTGGCAAGGAGAACCTTATGATCAAATTTGAATCTACTCAGAACACTAAGCTCACTTTTCCTAACATATATTAAGCTGCCTTAATACCTTAACAGTGAAAACATCCCTAGTCACCCCAATTTTCACGGGTGTGAATGTCTGGAAACAACTCTGACTAGCATCACTTTGGACAATGTTAAGTTCAAATGAACGATGAACAAGCTTAGCAAACACTACTGCAGAAACAACAAGCTCAGCCTTGTCACTTCTTAAAACATGATTTGAAGGAGCCACCAGAGCCAGCAACACATCTCCTCCACCCCTTAACACAGGTATTCCACGTCAAGTCTTGCTGCTTCTGGAAATAGACAAAACCTTTACACAGGATAAAAATATTTAACATCTCTTGCAGATTAGCAGAGAAGTTAGCAGAACTGCACAGCAGGACTCCTGCAATGACTGAGGAATACTCAGTGGAAGCTAAAGTTTTCCCTCTTAATACTCAATATTGAAGGGTTTTGCAGGGAAACATACTGCAGTTCAGAAAAATAAGCTGCCTTTCAGTGTAAGTGCTCCTAGGAAGAAGCAGGGTCTACACTCAGTCTCATACCCACAGCACTCAATGTCCTTCCTGGACATGGTACACAATATTTGATACTGGGGACAAAGAAGGGCTGAAAAAGCTCATCACTAACTGCTTCAAATAGCTTTTGCATTTACAAAACTAAACCTAGTATCTTCTTGAACTCATGAATGCTCGTAAAGAGATTTTTATCTGCTTAAAAAAAGCTAAATAAAGAGATTTTTTTTCCTTGATAAAGTTTTAATAACTCTGAAAATCTTACCTCCCCACCCATCATTAACAAAAATTCATTCAGTAAACAACAGAAACAAAAACTTTTCTATTTTTTTTAAGCATTTGTTAATTTATATGCTTTGAGCTTTACCTTACTGAATTTAGATTTTGGCATGATTCACAAATACCTCTCACTCTTTCAAAAAACTTTATTTTAAAAATAATTTTAAGTCATTAGACCGTACTTTATAATAGTTACCAATAGGACGGACCTGAACTCAAGCATCAGACATTTGTTGCACTTTCAAGTATTGTAACAACATGACTTTTCAAAATAAAAGTGTACATTTAGATTCACAGGTTAATTTGCTGAAATTTAATAACATTTGAAATCACTGGAATATGAACTGAAAGGGATATATGTTAAATACACAAATACTGAAAAAGTTCATAACCCCAAAACCCATGTGGAAACGGAATGCAGCCAATTAGTCAGGCTGTGGTTTAGGAATTTCACATTTACCTGGGTTAGCACCTTAGTGAACTCAACCATTGAATATGAGAAATGAATGCATGAAGAGTGACCACTCAACAGGTACCATTCCATGAGGAGACTGTCTTCTTGAGCATTTTGTACTGTATTTTTGAAATCTGGTAATATTTGAGACTTTTCTAAAATGTGTAAATAACCAATGACTACAGTTAAAATCTAAACAAAGAAATACTTTCTACTGTCAGCTGAAATTCTTTAAAGCAATCATTCATAAGGATTGCATCAACATCAGTTAGCAGAGGAAGATCAAACTTTATTGAAACTGCTTGCATACAAAATATATTGCACTATAACCAAACAAATGTCAACATAAAATCCAATCTGTTGTAGCTAATATGTACAGAGAATATTGCCCAAGAGCAGTTACATTACAAGGTCAGTCTACCTTGGTTAATTATCTACAGTATTTTAAACCAAACAGCTTACAGATGATGTGTGCAAGGTACCAATTTCTGTTTTCAAATACTATACATTCCCAAAATAAATAACTAGAAATCAACATTAATGTTTGGCAATACTTTTTAAGACATTTTATATTTGTTAAATCATGTGCAGTTCGTTGCCAGTTTTAGTATGCTCACCTGTATGCAAGGAAAAAAAAGAATGAAGAAAGCAAAGAAACAAAACTCACAAAATACAGAGGCAAGGTCAAGTTTGTACAATTCTGTACATAAACAGTGGCTCTCCTGGAGTAATCTGAACAAAAATGAACTAAAATGAAGGTCCTTATGCAGTTGTGCCCAGTTAAGTTTAACATGTGATCAGAAATGAAAGAAAGCACAGCTCCTCCCACCACTTCCCACCCTTCCCTGGTGTACAGCTGTACTTTGGATCAAATTCTGTGACACCTTCATATTGGCTGGTAATTAGGACCCTGCAGCTCAAAATATGAAGAACTTTTATTTTACCTTCACTATTTTAGCTACTGTGTCTGTAGTTGCCAGGGCATGACATGTGGTGACTTTCTTCTTATCTCTCCTGAAATAGCCTCCAAATTAAAATAAGCAATTCAAAAATTTTGGGAGGATGAAAGCCATCAATGGTTTAGGCTGGTCATCTGGCCAAACAGCAGGCACCCATTACTAGCTTGTGAACATGTTACACTTGTTCCCTCAGTAACAATCAGTTTTTTAGTTTTCCACAATGGAAAGATTTTTTTTTTTAGTTTTTCTTTTTTAAAAAAAAAGCTTCTGTACTGCCTACAAAGAAAAAAATTACACCCCTTTTTCAATAACACTATTTGCCAAATCTTCAGTGCAAAATAAATTTCCTATTCTTATAACTGCCTAACTGAATGTTTATGTAAGGAAAAAATTATGGAAAGCATGCACTTGTCTATAAAGTACTAACGTCTGACAAGGATTGCTACATATATTTTACATTTAGTGTTACCAACTCATCTTCCCTGATTTCTGCATCCAAATATAATATTCCTACCTGCCAAGATATAAAAAAGGCACAGATCATACAACTTTTTTGCTAATGAAAATGACAATTGTTACATCACACAGATTTCAGGGTCCACCAAAATATTGAAAAAGGTGGACCAGAATGTGAACTGACACAGGACATAAAACGACATAGCATTTCATGAAGAACTGGTAAGTTAGATTGAAAACAGAAGCCAATTTGATTACTGCAAACACTATTTATTCTGAAAATTGAAATTGAGCAGTGAATTTGACCCGATGTGTTAAAATGGTACAACTGAACAGAAAGTTTACCAATGCACAGCTCAGTATTTTTAAAACAAACAAAAAAAGAATCTTTCATTGTTTGAACTGCAATATGTACTTGGAAGCAATTTTCAGAAGTTCAGGTATTTTTATGCAAATATTTGAATAACTTCTTATTCTGAAAACAACTGCATACTGTTGATGTTAAAAAAGGCTAACAGAGAACATATGTTCATTTCATGCCCTGCGCCATCTTGCCTACTATTTTGTCTTTGGCCTAACAAGTTTCTCTAACATGGAATAGGAATTACTGAAACAGTATAGGAAGTATGACTTCAGAGTTATGCAGTTTAGGGGACTCCGTTCACCAGCGGCTGTTGAGCGTCGGCGCCGTCCGTCTTCTCCTTCTTGGGGTTCCGCTCCTTGCCCGCGCGCAGCCGGCTGCCTTCGCTCGAGGTATTCTGTAATGTTTTAGTGTGGACACTCCTTTCATTATTGCTGTCAATTCTGATCTGGAACAATTCAGAGTTATATAAAGCATTCTCCACCCTTCCTCCACCCCTGGGTGTTCTCTGCCTTGGCGGACTGGGAGCAGCAAACAGTGCCAGCCCCTCATGGCTGCAGGGGAGGCCGTAAATTCTTTTCTGTTCAAAAATGCCACATACCTGTGAGCCAAAACATCCTCTGCCATCTACCTAGCCTTTGCATCTAAGAGAAAAATTTCCAGTTTGTTTTGTACAAAAGAATTGAATTAATATCAGATGGATCTCTGAATCATTATTTCAACTTCTAGTAATTCGACTTCCTACTCTTTGTATGAAAAAAGCCCCCAAAAGACAGTGTCATTTCATGGCAGCTTTTCTGAATGTCAAAAAAATCTACTCAGACCTTTTATGAATCTGAAAAAAAAAAATCCATTTAATACACCAAAGAAACTTCTGCAGCCTTTTTAAGTGGTCATAGAAAATTTCAAGAGAGCACGCTGAAAGCAAAGTTTTATACTTGCAAAGGGGGCAAATGCTTATTGCTCGATATGTAACACGATTTTTCAACTTGCTCAGCCAGATTTGAACAACATGTAAGTACTTACTTTCTTGCAATGTGTCACTGCATCTAAATCTTGGAGCAACAGATAAAACCCCCCATCATTTAAGGGCCTAATCTTTTTTTTAGCACTGCATTTCCTCACTGCCTACTTCAAACTTTGTAAGGTAATTACTAATTAATTATAAATTAATTATTTATAATAATTATTTATTTTTTGTTTTGCCAAGTTATTTATTTGCATTTCAGATGCCTATTCGGCCTATTAAATTACTACACCTTGAAGTTCAGCCCTCCCATTTCAAAAACTAAGCACTGGTCACTTGTTCTGTTTTGTCCCTTTCTTAACCAGGCTTTCTAAAAAAAACAGCTAAGAGTCATCTCTATGTCCCATTGGAATCCTGACTCCTGGTACCACCACACAGAGGCAGCAGCTTGCAGCTGCTCTGTGTTTCTTCCTCCCACCTTAACTCATCCTATGCAGTAAGAGATGGTAGAAGGTTTGCAAGGACAGTTTACATGTGGGGAAACTTAATATATACAGCTTGATAAGTTCACAGAACAAAACATTTGAAAAAATAGAAATATCTTTATAAGAAGCTTAAAAATATTTAAGGTTACAAGATATTTAAAATCTATTACTTGAAAACTTTCTTGATGTGAATTAACTTACTTTCTAAACTGAATAGCCTTCAATTGCAAATGTTTCATTTAGTAGTGAAGGTAGTTTCTGAAGTTTAATCTTTCTTACTCTGAGGATTCTGGCTACAACACACTCTCTTTATATAGTGTTAAGGATTTTCTTCCCTCAGGTACATAGAAAATAGACAACAGCAGACAAGACAGCAAGAAGTAAAAGCTAAAACCAAAGCACTAGTAAGAACAGAGATTGAAATCAAGCTGGTTAGTAAATCCTTGGGACTTGTCATCAGTTTTTCACCAGACAGAGCTAAACAGCATTACAAAATTGCATCTTTACACAGCTTGATCTATTTAAAGTCCTGAGCATCTGTGTCATTTTGCAACACAACTTTTGTAGATGTGATTAGGGAGTCAAAGAATATGAAATTGCAAGGCTACTGTAATACTCACAACCCTGAAGACTCTGCTGTTACTATATGATACAATGCAATTTTAACAGTACATATGAGAAGTTACCTCAAGAGACCCGTCTGCTGTCCTCCCTTTCGCCTCTCTTGAGTTACGCTGACGGTTATCTGTTCGTGACTGTTCATCATTGCCTAGAAGAAGAATTAATCCACTAAGTTGCTCAACAAAGACACGATCTTCTGCCACTTAAATTTTATACAAGCACAGTAGGCAATTCAGGGTTTTCTGTCTCCTGACCAAATATTATTACTAACATATAACAATAGATCTTAAACTATGGGCCAGGATCACTTAAGAAAATGTTCTCAGGTGGTAATGCAGATAAAACCTCAGTGTTTAAAACCACCACAGTTTAAAAAAGACTGACTTACTGACTGAAAAAAAAATCCACTTCTCAAAATGATTACCCACAGAAGAGAGGTACACCATAGCAGTATTTAATACCTGCACATTTTTCAATGGCTTATAAACTTCCCGAATTATACATTGCCTTCTTACAAAAGTCTTATTAAGTAGCAGTCATACTTTGAAAAAAACATTTCAAGAAATAAGCAGAGCTGCAGAATAAATTATTTTAAGAAATAAATGTAATAGAACATCATATATTCTTGTATATATCTTTAACTTTAAAGTTCTCCCATCTTACTTTCGCCTAGTCCTTTCCACAGAACACATAAATTACAATGTCAATCTGTTCCATGAAAACCAAATACAAGAAGATGTGAATATGGACAGTATGGAATGAGTAATATAGATTTAAAAAGATTTTTCTCTATCTACAGACAAACTAGAATTTGATTCCTTGATGTCCATGTGTGGCACAGGCCACAAACTTGAGCCGAGGAATTTTAGGAAAACAAATGATAGTGAAAACTCCCCCAAAAATAAAGCATTCAAAAAGAATTATACTCCTCTGCTCGATGTTCAACACAACTGAAATAAAACACTCCATTTACAAGACTGACAAAGAGAAGTCAGGAGAGGCCACCAGGTGGGGAATTGGAGCAGAAGAGAAAAGGAGCAGCTGGCAGTGAGTTTGCTTTAGGATTCCCACAGTGACAGCCGTGTCCAGAAGGAGCCTCGGTTTACCTTTGAATCCTCCGCGCCCCCTCCCGCCTTGGCCTCTGGCGCCGCCGCCGCGCCTCCGCCCGTCCCCCCGGCGCAGGTAATTGTCCCGCTCCTCCTCCGCCGGGGCCGCCGACCAATCGCTCAGCTCGTCTCTGTGATCAGACTCTGTTTCAGAAGCATTTGATGCTTCAGAATTAGTTCCTATCAAGAGGATGAAAAAAATCCAAACACGCCAGTGTAGCTTAGCATGAAATTACTATAGTAGAATGCAAAATGTATATATTTAAATTTTTTCTTTCTCTTTTTGTTAACAGACAGTTTTGGGATGTTTTTGCCTCCCAACCTCTTTAACGTACATAATACCCAAAGGTACATAATATATATTCTTCAAAATTCAAGACAGACTAATAAAAATTAGTTGTGTGTTTAAGGCTAAATAATTAAGTGTGCCGCATGCTTAAAACTGGTGTTATCAGGGTATCAACAGATTACTGAACATACTACAAAATGTAGTATGTACTACAAAATGTAATAAAAGTCTAATAAAACGTGGGTGTAATAAACTAGACTCCTTCGTATTTCTACAGCTGAAAGTTGTGAATATAACCTGTCCTGTCTCCTCTCACCACTGCAACTCATCTATGAAAAGAAAAAAATTCCATCATGGAACAGCCTGTAACAGACTACAAAAGGAGAGAACAAAGTCAAATGCTAGAAATGTATCAAATCAAATAAATGGCCGTTGCAATTTTTCCAATTAACAGATCACCTTTATTGACAAAAG